TTAAAAAAAAAAAAAAAAAGGAAAAAAAAGAAAATTATAGTTGTATATGGGCTGAATGCCTTTATTTTGTTTATTTTTATGCATTGCTCAAGGATTGAACCCAGTGCATAACACATACTAGGCAAATGCTCTGCCACTGAGCTACAGCCCCAGCCCTATTATTGCTTTTTTTTTTTTTTAGTTGTAGTTGGACACAACACCTTTTTAAAATATATTTATTTTTATGTGGTGATGAGGATCGAACCTGGTGCTCACATGTGCAGAGGGAGAGCTCTACTTCTGAGCCACAATCTCAGCCCCCCATTGTTGGTTTTTAAGAAGTATTTAAAACATTAACATTAATCCAGAAGTCACAATCACACAATAATGCACACATGAGGTGGGCCTTGGTAGTTCCTGGACTGATCTTCCTTCCTCCCTCTCTTCCTTTCCCCAAATAAGACCTTGTTTTAGATGGTGTTCTCCAGAGCAACAGGTCCAACAGGAAGAACAGGTACCAATGAATGACAGGTTTGCTGTGAGGCTTGGCCCTTGTAGTTAAGAACCTCAGTCTGCGTCTGTAGCTGCAGTTGTGGAGCTGGGGAAGGTCGTGCCTGCCCAGCATCCCAGCTCAGGGTTAGCGATGACATGGCAGAACTGTGATCCCTGGCCCAGGTGGCCTTTGTCAGGTTGTCACAGCCAAGTTTGCAGTATACATGGAAGGAGGCTGCTAAGCATGGTCCACGCCCAGGGGCGGAAGCTCTTCAACTGCCTGTCATCCTGGGCCAGTGTCAGGCAGGGGTTCCTTAGAAACAACACAGATGATACAATACCAAAAAAGATACATTAGATGTCACCAGAATTAGAAACTTGGTGCTTGAGAGGTACAATCAAGAGGGTGAAAAGACCAGGGCTGGCGTCACTGGGTGGAGAGCCTACCAGGCATAGCACACTCAAGGCCCTGGGCTTGATCTCCAGCTGTGAAAAAAGAAAATGAAGACAGCCTGCAGGATGGAAGAAATTGTGAATCATAATCTAAAATATGTAAAAATTCTTAAAAACCTCCTAAACTCAATGAAAAGACAAATCAGTTAAAAATAGGCTAAAGATGTAAATAAATATTTCTTCAAAGAAGATATGCAGATGACCAGTGAGCATATGAAAAGATGCTCAACATTGTCACTCATCAGGGAAATAAATGCACATCAAAACCAGGGTGAATGCGGGCATGGTGCAGGCCTGTCCTCCCAGTCACTTGAAAGGCCGAGGCAGGAAGATGCGTGTCCCAGGCCAAGATAAGCAACCTAGTGAGGCCCTATCAAAAATAAACTTTAAAAAAGGGCTGGAGGTGTTGCTCAGGGGTAAATCCCCTCTGGGTTCCATCCCCAATACCAAGAAAAAAAAATGGAGGGGACAGGGAGTGGCAAGTATTGATGAGACTGTAGAGAAATGGAGCTTTAAAGCCGGGTGCAGTGCCCCACGCCTGTAATTCCAGCGGCTCCAGAGGCTAAGGCAGGAGAATCGTGAGTCCAAAGCCACCCTCAGCAACAGCAAGGTGCTAAGCAAGTGAGACCCTGTCTCTAAATAAAATACAAAATAGGGCTGGGGATATGTCTCAGTGGTTGAGTGCCCCTGAGTTCAATCCCTAGTACTAAAAAAAAAAAAAAAAAAAAAAAAGAGAAATGGAGCTTTGAGACATTGCTCATGGATCCTACCATGGTGCAACCACTTTGGAAAAGCAGCAGTTACATGTTAGTCAGCAGGGGCTGCTAGCAATGCTGCAGACAGGCAGGGCACTTGGCAGCACTGGCCCCTCTATGAGGTCACCAGCCTGTTGGGTAGGCCTACCTGGGAGCTCACACAACTGTCACTGCTGCTTGGCAGGCAGCATCCTGGAAGCGCCATACTGAAGTCAGGGCACCAGCTGTGATGGCTGGGGGCCCACTTGGAGTGTGGTCTATAGTTTGTAAAGGCTATGTGGAAAGATGGAGGTGCAGGGACACACACTTACCTTGGCTGTTACTACTGTTGCTTATTTATTTATTTATTTATTTATTTATTTTTATTTTTGGTGCCAGGGATTGAACTCAGGGGTGCTCTACCATCGAGGTAGATCCCCAGCTCTTTTTTTCTTTTAGTTGTTGATGGACCTCTTTTTTTTTTTTTTTTTTTAATATGTGGTGCTGAGAATCAAACCCAGTACCTCACAAGTGTGAGGCAAGTACTCTACCACTAAGCTACAACCCCAGCCCTCCAGCCCTTTTATTTTTTATTTCAAGACAGTCCCCAGGCAGGCCTGGAACTTTGACCCTCCTGCCTCAGCCTCCTGAGTTGTTGAGAAGACAGGCATGCTCACCAGCCCAGCCATCTGAGTCCTTTGGTCACTTCACATCAGTGTAGGTCTTTAGCCTTCCTTTTTAAAACCTGATGAGGGTTACATTTACCTAGAGCCCCTTCTGTCCAGGTGTCCATTCATTCTCCTCTGTGTATAGGGAAGCATACCAGGCAACAAGGTGAGTTTTGCTTACAGTCACCAAGCAATTTAAAAGAGAATTGTTCACCAGGCATCATGGCTTATGCCTGTAGTCCTGCCACTGAGGAGACCGAGGCAGGAGGATCAACTGAACCCAAGAGCTGGAAATGACTGTGAGACCCAGGCTCAAAAACAGGATTGCCCATTAATTTGACCCAGTGGTTTGCTCTTTCTGATGGTCCACATTTTCTTCTAAAGTTGTTTCCTTTCAGTTTGAAGGACTTTAACAGTTCTTTCACATTTTTTTCTTCTTTTAATTGGCATGTACAAATGGTAGCTATTTGTGGTGTGGCTAATAGTTCTCCAGAGAACTGCACAGTGACAGATTTCTAAATCTGTTCCTCTGAGAATATCTGAAGTTATTTTTGCTGAGTTTGGAATTCTGGGGTCCTGGCTCTTCCCTGCCTGTGGGTGAGGAGTGTCCCTGCTGGCTGCTGCCCCCAGTTCTGGCAGGATGACAACCATCCTCTGAGTGGCGGCCTTCTGTTGGTCGTGGACTCTTAGTTTGTGGCTTTTTTGGCCGTTACTTGTCCCCTTGTGTGCTCTCTGGGTTGCAGAGCGTTCTACCACTGAGCAACATCCTAGCTAGGTGTTCCAGACCGGCCTTGACTTGGAATCTTCCTGCCTCGGCCTCCAGGGTTGCTGGGTTACCCTCCTGTGCCACCACACCCAGCTGGCCGTCATTCCTTTAAGTGTTTGTTCTGTCCTGCACTCCTTCTCCTCTCCCTCTGAGCCCTGCCTCATGCTGTCCCTTGTGCTAGAGGCCTGACTCGGTGCAGCCAGCACCAGACTGCCTGTGCTTGCAGCCAGTGCTTCCAGGCCTCTCCAGACACAGGGCTGTGTAGGGTGTCCATGTGTGTGGTGTGTTCATATGTGTATTTTTTTTACTGTTTATTTTTTAGTTCTAGTTGGACACAATACCTTTATTTTATTTATTTATTTTTATGTGGTGCTGAGGATCGAACCCAGGGCCTTGCACGTGTGAGGCGAGCACTCTGCTGCTGAGCCCCAGCCCAGCCCCTCGTGTATTTCCAAGGGTGTACCATGTGTGCTCCTGTGCTGTTGCCAGCTGGAGTGTAGACTTCGAGGACTGCACATGGCTCTGCTCTTGCTGGGTCCCCTCCTCCACAGGGCAGCTGGCGGAGCTGGGAGGATGCAGATTGTGCATGTACTGCTCTCTCACCCAGGGCTGCACATGGAGCTGCAGGATGTCGCCAAGCTCAAGAGTAAGTGCTGCCCTCCCTCACCCCCACCACTGGTGGGCCCACCTCTGATAGCCCCTTGACCCACAGTGATCCTTCTTCGCCTGGAGGGTGCCATCGATGCTGTCCAGCTGCCTGGAGATGACAGTGGCGTCACCAAGCCGGGAAGGTGAGGGACGGGCAAACCCTGTGACTCCAGGCAGGGCCTGGAGCTGGAGGGGACAATGGGCTGTGACCTTGGTATTCTGCCAGGTACTGAAAGTCAGACCTGGGCCATGTCCTCCAGTTGGGTCTGTCTCAATTTTCAAGGCTCTTGTGTGCTGCCACCTCTTAGCAGTTGTGGAGAACACCAGGAGTCATAGCATGCACGGTGGCATTGTCTTCTGCAGCCCTCTCCTCCAGCTGGCCCAGCCCCTCACTGGCAGTGCAGGTGCCTGTTAGTGAGACCATCCCTTTAGGACCAGCAGAGCAGTGGCAGCCTGTTGTGGAGGCCAGGAGGTCCTCAGAGTCTGAATGCTCCAGCGCGGGCACTCCATTTTTTCCTGCTGTCTTTCTTGCAGGCAGAGGAGGGCCTAGGGGTAGTTCTCTCCTGAAGACAGGTGGCTACCGGAGCTAGGCCTGGGTTTATTGAGGAAGACCCTGGCTGCTGCCTTCTGCCAGAGCTGGTCTGTTTCTCTGAACGTGGCAGGGACTCCAGTTGCCGGGAGGTGAAGCCTAGCTCCTCAGCTGGATGTCCAGGACTCCAGCTGGCCCTGGAACCTTCCCTGCCTCACCAAAGGCCCCCTTGCTGTAGCTTCTGCTGCCCTTCCCCTGTCTCTTTTCAGAGCCATGAGCACGCCCTGGCAGCCCCATGGGCGGGTCCCTCGCCCAGGCACCTGCTGTCTCTTGGGTACATTGCACTTGGGCCAGGGCCTTCTCTCCTCTCCCTTACTTACAGCTAGCTCCTGAAGGCAGAGGCCTCTCACTTCAGCTTTGCTCTCCCTGAGAAGCCTCAGTTTGCTCCTGTCTAAAGGACACTTAAAAAGCTTCTGGCCTGTGGGTTCACCAAGCTGAATCCTGGTCCCCTTGCCAGGCTCAAGTCATCTTTTTCCTCTCGGGCAGTTACATCTTCGAGCTGTTTGCAGAAGCCCAGATAACATTTCAGACCAAGGACTGCATCCTGGACTCACTGGACCAGATCATCCAGCACCTGGCAGGGCGTGAGTCTCTGGAGGGCCGGCTGCCCTGTGGTGCAGACAGAGAAGGATGGGGGCTGCCCTCACAGAGTTGCTGCTCTGTGTCCAGCAGTCAGCTGCCTGCTTCAGGCTGTTGCCCCTCCCTGTGAGCAGCCTGTGGAGCTTCCCCTTCTGTTTGGGACTGAAGGCATCCTTGCCATTTGACTGTTTTGCAGGTGTGAGGCGAGCACTCTGCCGCTGAGCCCCAGCCCAACCCTTCATGTGTATTTCCAAGGGTGTGTGCTCCTGTGCTGTTGCCAGCTGGAGTGTAGACTTCGAGTTTATTGACTTGTTTATTTTTTTGGTACTGGGATCTAACCCAGGGTGCTCTACCACTGAGCCGCACACCCAGTCTTTAGCTTTCGTCTTGAGACAAGTTCTGGCTGAGTTGCCCAGGCTGGCCTGGAACTTGTGTCCTCCTGCCTCAGCCTCACAAGCTGGGATTTCAGACTGTGCCCCTGCACCTGGCCTGTTGTGTTGTCCTGCAGATGTGTTCCAACTGTTGTTAGTGGTGTCTTCTTATAGGGCATCCCAGAGAGACCCCTCCTTTTTATTGTTGTTGGTACCAAGAATTGAACCCAGGAGTGCTTAATCACTGAGTCACATCCATGCTCTTTTTATTTTTCATTTTAAGACAGGGTCTTGGGGCTGGGGTTGTGGCTCAGTGGAAGAACACTCGCCTAGCATGCGTGAGGCACTGGGTTCAATCCTCAGCACCACATAAATGTAAAATAAAGATATTGTATCCACCTAAAACTAAAAAAAAAATTAAAAAAAAATTAAAAAAAAGACAGGGTCTTAATATGAGGCACTGGGTTCGATCCTAGCACCACATAAAAACAAATAAAGGCATTGAGTCCATACACAACTAGAAAATAATAGTAATAATTTAAAAAAGGTCTCACTAAGTTGTTGAGGCTGGCTTTGGACTTGATCCTCCTGTCTCAGCCTCCTGAGCTGCTGGGATAACAGGTGTGAGCCACTGCACCCACCAGATAGTCTCCTTTTAAAAAGAGACAGCAAGAGACCTTGGGCTTATGAGCTGGGAACCTTGCTGGCTTCTCCCTGACACCACCCAAGTCCCATTTCTGCTGTTTTGTGAGGAGCAGAGGGCTTCCCAGGGTTCCATGGCTACACTCCCTTTTAAGCAGGTGTTGGGGAAGTTTGAAATGCAGGACCTGTTGAATCTGCTGCACCTCTGGGAACTGAGGAAGGGTGGCTTCTACATGTGCTTGACCACAGAGCCTTCCTCGAGCTCCACAGAACCCTTTGGCTTCTCCCTCGCACTCTGGGAAGAGCACGACAGCTGCCCTCTTCCCATGTCCTGTGCCTGATGCTGGTTGGGAAACTGTTCTCCCCACTGGGCAGGAGGCAGGGCTTGGTAGTGTGGCCCTGTGAGATCCACAAGTGCCTCTGCCTGCTGCCCACAGGTTCCGGAGCACTGGCCACCACGGTAGGGTTGCAGAAGCTGGCAGACATCATCCAGGTAGGAACCTGCTTTGGACTGCATGGGCCCCTTTCCAGATGGAAGTCAGCAGGGGGTCAGAGCCTGGATGAAGGCCCCCACACCACGTGTTTCTGTTGGCAGATGCTTAAGCTCATTTCCTCTCAGTCTGAATGCACTGAGCCTCTAGGGGAAGAGATAGAGGACCTGTCTGGCTGTGCTTGACTGTTGAATGGCCAGACATGTCCAGAGTAGCCCTGGGGGGAAGCTGGTATTCCCTGGTACTGCTGGAGGTGGGCACAGGGCAGGCCTGGTGGGCATCAGGCCAGAGGCAGTGTCCTGGGGGTTCTCCCACAGACAGAAGGGGCTCCCACTAAGGGCAGTGCTGAGCACAACAGGAGACCATTTGGGTATCTGCAGTCTAACCGGAAACTGGAAGTGAGGGCAGCGCACCCATGCTGGGAGCAGTCTGCATGGGGCTCTGTCAGAGCCCCAAAGAACAAGGAATCTCACCACCCTGGTGTTCATGCCACAGAGTGCTGTCATGGGCACACCCCCAAGTTGCCGGAGACGCCTTGCCTGCACTGTTGGGCACGTTGGTGCCGGGCAGGTGGCCTCCCTTGAGCAACCTTGGCTGAGGCCTGGTTCCCTGGTGTGCCTGAGAGCCTGCTCTCCATCTCCAGGTCCCAGAAGCCCCCCAGGGGTGTTCTCTTACCTCCTTCTCTGTGGTTTCTGACTGTTGGGTGGCATCCTCTGGAGCCCAAGGCACAAGTGTTCCTCTGGGGGAGCTGCCCAGTTCGTCCTGCCGCTTGAAAGCCACTTCCCTTGCTGACCTAGGTGTGCTGGTTGGAGCCTTGCTAGCCGGTTGCTCACTGTGCCTTTTCTGTGAACTGTCCTGGGCATGCCAGCTCCATAGGGCTTTGTCACTGCAAGTGTTGATCCCTTGATCTGCACAGTGCATTTGTCTTCTGACTGCTTTCTGTGGTGGGGGCCAGTGAGCAGGAGGCCTGCCCCTGCTGGGGCTGGCCCCTCCCAGAGGGCCGGAGCCCACTTCTTTACACAGACAGCTGCCCCGCCCACAGGTGTCCTGTGCTTCACCTTGTCCTTTTTGGCCAGAACAATTTCTCCCATGCCTTTCAGCTCTGAGGTTCTCCACCAGGTGGACTTTGGGTCAGCTCACTAATGTCCTATAGGAGTCCTGTTATAGTCTTGACTGGAATGTTTTGAGTTTCTAGGTTGATTTGGGATGTAGGGTAGAGGGTAGCCAAGGCAGAAGAGGAAAGGCCCCGTGGGGCTGCTGTGTGTTCCCTGCATGCGGTCAACCTGGTGTGGAGGGTGCTGCCCCTCATCCTGGGATGTTGTTGGGCAGGTGAGCCAGGGAGGTCCTGAGTGCCTGTCCATCATCCTGGTGGCACAGGTATTCCTGCACGCTGGGCCAAGGGCCTGCTTCCCAGCACAACAGAGGCTTCCTTCTCGGCCCTGGCCCTTGGCCCTGTGATGGACTCCTTGCCTTTTAGGTCGTGTTCAGTATGGACTCTGCAGAGGGCAACCCTGGTTCCATGGTATGGCCTGGGTTCTCACAGGCCTACAAGGTGGGAGCTCCCTCCAGGAGGTGGGCAGCATGGTGGTGCCACAGAGATGTGAGGAAGGGGTCAGGACATTGTCCATGCTTGTCCCTCTAGGTGCACATTCATCCTGACACAGGATACAGGAGGGCAGCTCAGCGGTCAGTCACCTGGAGCGCCAGTGCATCCAAAAAGCCAGGTACCAGCCTATGGGCTTGGACCCACTCCCCCACTGACCTCAGACACACTGGAACTGCCTACCTCAGTCAGCCACGCCTGTGGCCACCTCACTTGCTCACTGAAAGCCAGAGTGGCCTTGGAGGAGGCTGAAGGCACATGACCTGTCTGTCCGCTGGCGGACAGTGACAAACCCAGGGACCAGTGAGGCCTCTCACCTTCCTAGGACACACTGCTTCTGGTGCAGTATGCCCCTGGCTTGGTGTCTGGAGCACAGGGGTTCTGGGGTACAGCTGGCCCCACCTCTGTGAGACGGTCAGTCCTTGTGGCCAGGAAACAGTGGATTCATGCCTGGGGCCCCTGGGTGCTGCTAACTCAAGAAGTGTTGGGCCCACATTCCAGGTGTGCCTCTCTGTGTCTGCAACCCTCCCTGGCTCCTGGGCCTCTGTGCCCTTCCCTGTGTGGGGCTGCTGTTTTTCCCGCTGTTGTCTCATTTGGGGTCAATGCCTCAGCAGAAGCAGCCAGTGGGTGTTTCTGTGTGGGTACTGTAGTTTGACTGCTGTCGGGGAGAAAGGTCTGGGGGGTCCAGAGTAGCCTAGAGCCATGGTGTGGCCAGGAGCTCTGATCCTCACAGCCTCAAAGTATGGCCTCTCGCATTCTGAGTAGGGGGTGGCATTTGTGAAGCTAAGGGTTACCTAGAATGAGGGCCTGAGTAGTGTATTCTCCTTCCACTCAAATCATGTGGCTTTTTAGAAACCGCCTCCCTGACCTGTGCATGGTGGCGCACGCCTGTGATCCCAGGGACTTGGGAGGCTGAGGCAGAAAGATTGTAAGCTCAAGGCCAATCTCAGCAATTTAGTGAGGCCCTAAGCAACTTAGTGAGATCCTGTCTCAAAATAAAAAGTAATAAGGACTAGGATGTGGCTCAGAGGTGGGGTGCACCTGGGTTCAATCCAGTTAAAAAAAGTAGTCTCCTGTGTTGGGGTGTCGATGAGAAATCAACCCTTTGTGGTGGGTCCTTGCCAGGTATCCCTGGTGGTCCCCATGTGAGGCAGCTCATGTGGGAACATGTTGCTAAGCTCAGGAAAGGGTCCTGCCCTGGGCTGTCTGCCCTCACTCCTCGTTCTGGAGAGTGCTGGGAGCAAGCAGTGGCGTTGTACCACGAGGGCCTTTTGGTCAGGCACTCTGGGAAGCTGCTGGCTTCTGGGGTGGTGACCTTGTTTGTCCTGACTGCCCAGAGTTGGAAACTCACTTCCCTGGCTTCTGCAGAGGTCTTTCATGCCTGGGAGGCTGGACCTGCTTCCTTCCCTGTGTTTTAGCAGAGGGCCTCTGAGCCCTGTGCCACACATTTGGCTTTGGAAAAGTTTGGGTGTGAGATTGGTGGTCTCTCCCAAGGGGTCTCCTAGCATTCGCCTCGACCTGCCTCCTGCTCCCTCGTGTTCCGAGCTCTCAGGCTAAGCTAACCTCAGGAGAGCCTTTTTGTTCTGACTTCTGCACCCTGTGCCTGTGTGACTGTAGGAAGGTGGGAAAGATGATAGATGTCCCATCCTCACACCCCCTTTCCTCACAGGGAAGGTGCTGAGCTACTGGTGCTTCAGTCCCGGCCACAGCATGCATGAGCTGACCCGCCAGGGTGTCCACACCCTCATCCTCACCAGCGGCACACTGGCCCCGCTTTCCTCCTTCGCCCTGGAGATGCAGATGTATGGGTCACCCCTGACCAGAGACCAAAGTGCTGGGGACAGCTGGGTGTGGGGGTGCTGCCCGCAGGGCCACCCACTGACTGCTCCCTCTGCCCGGCTCCAGACCCTTCCCAGTTTGTCTGGAGAACCCACACGTCATCGACAGACACCAGCTGTGGGTGGGAGTTATTCCCAAAGGCCCGGATGGAGCCCAGCTGAGCTCCGCGTTTGATAAGCGGTAAGGGGGTCCTGTCTGGGCCTCACAGGGTGGTGGGGTATAGCTGGGCTCTGGTCCTCATTACAGCAGCCTCCCTGGCTCTGCAGGTTTTCTGAAGAGTGCTTGTCTTCCCTGGGGAAGGCTCTGGGTAAGTGCCACTCCACCTAGGAGTCTGCCCTCTCTGGGAAGCCCTGGTGTCCAGCCCTCCCATGCTGTCAGAGCCCCACTTGGAGTTGGCACACCCAGTCCCCTCTCCCAAGAGCTGTGGGGCCCTCTGCCTTGACCATGGCCACCATGCTTCCAGGAAACATTGCCCGTGTGGTGCCCCATGGGCTCCTGGTCTTCTTCCCTTCCTACCCCGTCATGGAGAAAAGCCTGGAGTTCTGGCAGGTACATCCCCTGTGCATCCTCAGGGGAGGGAGTCTGGTCAAGGTGGCAGGCAGATCCAGGGCATTGAGAAGACTAGCTGCAGCCCCACAACTGCCCAAGTCTGACCAGTGTGCTGATGAGCCTGTGCACACCTGGCTTTTCCTCCTACAGGCCCGAGACTTGGCCAGAAAGATGGAGGTGCTCAAGCCTCTCTTTGTGGAGCCCAGAAGCAAAGGCAGTTTCTCAGAGGTCTGTGCTCCACCAGGGTCTGCCACCTCCCTGGGTGTATTGCCTGGAGAGCCGCTGACATTTCACTGGTGTCTGAGGCCCCACAACCACCCTGGCTGTGGGGTCCCTGTGTTTTCTGGGAAATACGAGGCAGCCTCTGGGTTCTGGGCATGGGTCAGTGGGGAACCAGCAGTGATGGTGTTTGTATGACCTACTGGCTCCCCAATTTTGGAGGATGGGATCCCGGTCTCCCTTGTGGCAGAGGAGTCCAGGCCTAAGGCTCAGGCTGACCAGCCTCTTCCTCCAGGTCATCGATGCTTACTACAAGCAGGTCGCCTCCCCTGGGTCCAGTGGGGCCACCTTCCTTGCAGTATGTCGGGGCAAGGTGAGGCCTCTGTGGTGCATCCTCCCCCTGCCATGGGCCCTGCTGGCCACTGGGACCTGTTGATAGGCCAAGCAAGCACTGGCAGGGCACAGGAGGTTCTGAGCAGGGGAAGTTGGTGATGGGCCCGGCTGGGGCAAGGAGGGGGCTTCCTTATATCTCACCCATGCCTGAGAGATGGGGCTGTGTGGGCTGGGGCACAGAGGGACTGTTGGGAAGAGCCCCGAGCTCAGGTGGGGGCATCGGGGGTGAGGAGTCTGCACTGCCCCAGGCAGCTCTTGGGCCTGTGTCTTAGGCCAGTGAAGGGCTGGATTTCTCAGACACCAATGGCCGAGGTGTGGTTGTCACGGGCCTCCCATACCCACCACGCATGGACCCCCGGGTTGTTCTCAAGATGCAGTTCCTGGATGAGATGAGGAGCCAGAGTAGGGCTGGAGGCCAGGTGAGACACCACAGAGCCAGGGCTGGGTTAGGGCAGGGGACTGGTGACAGCCCCAATGACCAGGCGCCCCTGCCCCTGCAGTTCCTCTCTGGGCAGGAGTGGTATCGACTGCAGGCGTCCAGGGCTGTGAACCAGGCCATTGGGCGGGTCATCAGGCACCGCCATGACTATGGGGCCGTCTTCTTGTGCGACCACAGGTACGTGCAGCAGGGCTCCCCCTGGCCACTGGAGGCCCTTTGTGGGCCTTGGGCCTTTCAGCCCCGTGTGAGCCCCTTGGGGTTCTGTGCTGGGGGACTCCTCCTGGCAGACAGCGAGCCTCTGTTTGGAAACTGGAGCCCTGTGAAGTGGGTCAAAGAGCAGAGGACCCTGGCTGAAGGCCACATGCCTTCTAGGTTCGCCAGTGCTGACGCCAGAGCCCAGCTGCCCTCCTGGGTGCGCCCCTACCTCAAGGTGTACAACAACTTTGGCCACGTTATTCGGGATGTGGCACAGTTCTTCCGTGTCGCTCAGAAAATTGTGAGCTCCCAGATGCCCAGCTGGCCGTGCCTTGTACCCTACCCAGGGAGGGGTTGGGGTTCCTCTTCTGAAGAGTCACAGAAACAGGCCCCACCTGCCCTGTGGTCTGCAGATGCCTACACGGGCCCCACTGGCTGCAGCCCCAGGTGTGGGTGGGGAAGAAGCGATTGTCTCCACGGCCAGGTTGCCCAGCACCCTCCTCTCTGCCAGGAAAGCCACAAGTATGGATGTGCATGTGCCCAGCCTGAGGCCCGGGTCCACAGGTTAATAGGGCTGGGTTCGGGGCCACCATGGGCAGAGGCACAGCCTGCCTGGCCCTGTGAGCCTTGCTCTCATTCTCATGCTTCTGTAGGATTGCCATCCTCTGGGAACCCCGAGAGCAGCTTGTGCGTGGAGTATGAGCAGGAGCCTGTCCCAGCCCAGCGGAGGCCCGTGGGACTGCTGGCTGCCCTGGAGCACAGTGAGCAGAGGGCTGAGGCACTTGCAGATAAGGCCCACCTCAGGGAGGAAGAGGTGCGGAGATGGGGTCCAGTGCTTGGTGCTGAGGCTTGCCCTTGAGGGGAGGTGCAGGCTTGGAGCAGAGGAGTGCCTGGGAGTGAACACTGGGGTTCTGAAACCTGCCCAGGTCCTGCCCATTTGACCTTGGCATGTTTCCCACTGCCTCTGTAAATCCCCTTCCTGGTGGGTTGATGGGGGATTTCAGCACCCCTAGCTATACTCTATGCCCTCAGCCCCAAGCAATGAGGTCCTGATTATGCCCCCTGCCATGCTATGCTTCCCTGGCAGGTCAGGCTGGCACAGCCTAGTGGCTCCTGTTGCCTGCTGCACCCAAAGCTGGCTTTCTCGGGGCCTGGGCTAGAGTGGGATCTTGAGTTCTGGCCCCTAGGGGCCTTTGCCCCAAATCCAGTTGCCACCAGGACTTGAGCATGACAGCCTCCCCCTGCAGGGCTTCTGTTCAGGACACTGTCAGAGCTCCTGGAGACCCTCAAGTTTGGGGTTGGGACCATAGCTGTGTCCCCCTCAGGTACCGGGTCACACTGCCCCAGCCCTCCAGCGTGAGAAGAGGCTGGCCGACATGCCGAGAGGAGGAAGGAGGAAGATTAGGCTGGTCAGCCCGGTATGTGAGCTGTCCTGCTCTTGTGCCCATGGTCCCCAACCAAGAAGGGTGTGGGTCAGTCAGCACCAACAGGTGGACTTCCTGGGCAGCAGTGATGATAGTTGGCTGGAGTTTGCAGTTCCTTCTGTGGGTGTCTTGAGAGCCCCTCTTCCTTTCTAGCCAGGATCTAGTTTAGCCCTTGAGCCCATTTGTTTTGGGTCTTACAACTGGCCATGATTCCACTCCCCCTCCAGATATGGTGGTGAGCACATCGAGACCCTTGCCATCCCTGAGTACAGACTCTGACCTGCCTCGTGTGAGCAGGTGCAGTGTGCTCCAGGTCTCAGATGAGAGCCACCAAGTCAGACCTGAGACGGGCCCTTTGCCTGCTAAAAGCCCAAGTGCAACTGCTTTGGTCATGTCCCTCAGCTTCTAGGAAGAATCAAGCAGTGCCCCAGGAGGGCTGGTGCAGCCAGGAAGGGTGGGGCAGGGTTGGTGGGACAGCCTGGACCAGCCCTGCCTTGGTTTTCATAGAACCACGTGGGTCTGAGGTGTGCAGAAGTGAGGCCTAACTGGGCATGGTGGCCATGTCTGGAACCGGGCAGGCTGAGGCAGGAGGATCCTAAGTTGCCTGGGCAACTTCGTGAGACCCTGTCTCAAAATAAATATATAAATAGAAAATGGCTGGAGGAAAATCAAGTGGGCACAGCCTGCTGAGAAGCAGCTTTCATTGCAAGCTGCCCTCTGAGTTCAGCTCCACCTGTACCTGTGGTGGGCCTTAGGTGCAGGGAGCTTAGGTGCAGTGGACCCTTGCAGGCCTCTCCTGGCAGTAACCAAGGGCAGAAAGGATGGGGCTGGCCCTGATAGGTCCTCTCTGCATGTGCTCAGCAGGAGGAGCCAACAGCTGGTGTGCAGGCGGGCAGAGCCAAGCTGTTCATGGTTGCCGTGAAGCAGGCCCTGAGTCAAGCCAGCTTTGACACCTTCACCCAGGCCCTGCAGGACTACAAGGGCTCTGACAACTTCGAAGCCCTGGCAGCTTGCCTTGGGAGCCTCTTTGCTAAGGACCCCAAGAAGCACACCCTGCTTCAAGGTGCCCTGGCTCGCAGAGCCCTCTTGCCATGGGTGGAGTACCTTAGCTATTGCGGGTGGGGAGCACTTGCCAGAGGGCTTCTAGGGCCTAAGGTTGTCCCTACCTTCTGGACAAGGGAACTGGTAGGCCACCCACAGCCCCTCAAACCTCCATCTCAGTAGCCACAGTACATGGGCACAGGCAGCTTCCCTTCCTAACAGGGTTCTACCAGTTTGTGCGGCCTCACCACAAACAACAGTTTGAGGATATCTGCTTCCAGCTAACAGGCCAAAGCTGCAGCTGCCAGCCAGAGCACAGTCTTTCCCATGGGCAGCATGCACAGTCAGCCCAGGACCACAGTGGTGAGCTACCAAGCAGGATCCTCGGCCTCTGACCCCAAGGATGGGTGGTACCTGGGACCCTGGGTGGTCAGAGTGGGCATCTGTGCTCTTGTTTGGCCCAGCCTCCCTGCTCCTACATGGGGGCTGATGGCATTACCATAAGATGGAAGCACTTATGTGGGCAAGCCCTGTTCCTATGCACTGGGCTGGGCCTAGGCCTCCCAGGAGAGACCTGCACTTGGGGAGCCAGGTGCACGTACCAGGTCTAGATGCTAAGCACTTCTCTACCTTCTTTTCCTGCCTCCGAGCTGAGGTGAGCTGGGTCCTAGAGGGGCAGTGCCTGCTGCTGCTTGTGCCAAAGAGCAGCCCACCCTATGGTTTTTCAGAGCAGGCTCATCCATAGGAGTCTGGGCTGGTGGGGGGTGGAGGTCCTGGTGCCTGCACCTATGGCTCTGTGCTCCTGGGCAGGGCCTTAGCCCTGTCCCCCTCCCCCAGCAGAAGGGCAGCTGTGTGGGCTGTACTCAGCTCCCCCAGGGGCCTGCAGCATGTGCAAGTCAGGGTCACTGCCCTGGACTGTGGAGGGTGATGAGACCTGGTCTCCTCTGGCCAGTCCTGTTCCTGCCCTGGGGATCCTCTCAGGCCCTCAGGAGCATATTTCTTCAGGAAAGAGAGAATATGAGCCCAAGCTGACCCAGTCTGAGGGTGTGTCCGGGCAGCTGGATCCTGGAAAGCACCTGAACCAGGGTGGGCCCCACCTGTCGGCCAGGCTGACCCCTGCAGGTACCTGACTCCTGTAGACCTAGGTAGGGTGTACAGTTCTCAAAGAGGCTTGTGCTCTAGTTTGGTTTGAGTGGCTGCAGCAAGAACAGTCTGGAGCAGAGCTGGAGCCTCTGGCAGGGGTGTCTCCTATCTGCTCTCCATTATGCCCCCACTGTTCTGACCAGCACTAGGCTCTGCAGGAGTTCTTGGAAGGAAAGGGAGTGGAGGGGGAGCCCTGGACCCCCAGAGGCCCAACACTACCTCTGAGCCATTCTACCCCTGATCAGGAGCCCTGGGCAGCTGTCCGCAAGTCATGTCCAGAGAGGAACAGCGAGGCCAGCCTGCTGTGAGTGCTTACCTGGCAGATGCCCGCAAGGCCCTAGGATCTGCAGGCTGCAGCCAGCTCTTGGCAGCACTGAAGGCATATAAACGTGATGATGACCTCAACAAGGTTCTGGCTGTGCTAGCTGCGCTGACCACCTCAAAGCCTGAGGACTTCCCCCTGCTGCAGAGCAAGTGGCCCCAGGGTGGGGTGGGCAGGGCAGGAGGGCTGTGGAGAGGATGGTGTGGGCCTGGCCATGCAGGGTAGGTACAGCCTGAGCAAAACTCCCCGCAGGGTTCAGCATGTTCGTGCGTCCCCACCACAAACAGCACTTTGTGCAGACCTGTGCAGAACTGATGGGCCTGCCCACCACAGTGACAACACTGCAGAGTCCTCAGGAGAGCTCCCCTGAGCTCACCCTTGGAGCACCTCAAGCAGGTGGGCACCTGTTTGGGCACTCTCTCTGCCCGTTCTGTCACACTTGAGGCACCTGCAGCCCTGGGAAAGCGGGAAGGCAGGAGGGCAGCACTGGGCACCCCTCCAACTTGCTCCTTTCTGCAGGTCCCTCACAGGTGGATAAACCAGGGAAGACCCAAAGCAAGATCTCTTTCCTTAGACAGAGGCCAGTGGGAAGTGCAGTGCCCAAAGGCACCACCACAGACCAACACCAGGCCTCCTGATGGGCATGCAAATCCTGGGTGGGGTAAGCTGTATGAGGCTGCTAAGTGTGGGGGGATGGCACTGGGAGGGCAAGTGAGCTCACCCGGGCCCCTTGTACCAGGTTTCCGGGCAGAGAACCCAGTGCCTCTCCTTTGATTTCCACTTCTGGTGATGGCACTTCAGGTGGTGGGCTGGGTAGGAAGAAATTAAGGCCCTTCATTAGGCTGTGGTGTTCAGCAGACATGCCCAGCAACCTGATGTCTCCACAGGCCTCCAGGAGGTGTCCTGTCATGCTGCTGCCAGGAAGCATATCACACAGGTCTTCTGGCCCAAGCTCCAGTGAACATCTGTGGACAACCTTGTGCCCTGCTGTGGCCCCCACACTAGCTTGTCCCAGCTGTGGTGTGGTCCAGGAGTCATCCCTACAGGCCTCAGACACATGGGGCCTGGGATAGGTCTGCTAGAAATTCTTCTCTGTAACTTTCCCCAGGGGCCTCTGTCAGCTATGTGCAAATAAAACTGCTGACAGTGGCCAAGAGGTGTCTGTGTGACCTTGCTTGTTGGGGTATCTGAGGATACACTGAAGATCTGAGTAGCAGGGAGGGTGCCCTTGGTACTCTCAGAGGAGACCTGCCCCAGACCTGCTCCTGGTCAGGGCCTTAGCCCTGTCCCCTTCCCCCAGCAGAAGGGCAGCTGTGTGGGCTGTACTCAGCTCCCCCAGGGGCCTGCAGCATGTGCAAGTCAGGGTCACTGCCCTGGACTGTGGAGGGTGATGAGACCTGGTCTCCTCTGGCCAGTCCTGTTCCTGCCCTGGGGACCCTCTCAAGCTCTCAGGAGCATATTTCTTCAGGAAAGAGAATATGAGCCCAAGCTGACCTAGTCTGAGGGTGTGCATGTTGGGCCAGGTTCCAGACCCCTGCAGGAAGTCCTTTTGGGGCAGCCCCCTCATCCCCTACCAATCACATCTTGGGTTCCACCCAGGAGGGTTCCTGCCTTACCAGGCACAAGGACAGTGGCCAGACAGAAGTGAGCATTTCCACAGGCTGGCATGCTTTTTCCTGTTGCTTGGCAGGCAAGCTGCAGCAAGCACATGGCAGTGGCCCCTTACCTGTGCTTGGGGGGCGTGGACTGGCAATGTCCACTCCAGCAAGGACAAGAACACTGGAGAGACTGGTCCTGTTGCCCTGATGGGCACTCCCTAAGCTGGAACTGGTGTGACCCAATGCCCAACCCTATCCTCTTCACACAGCCAGGACCAAGTGCAGGTGCAGGAGCTTGAGGCAGTGCTGCCTGGCTGTATTTCATAAATGTGCCTTGACACCCTGGCTCCTTTGTGCATGCAGGTTTCTGGCAGATGCATGAGAATCTACACATCAGTTCTGGTCCCTCCCTGGGACCATACAGTGCCAGCCTGTGCCCAGGACATGTCTTGAGCACTAGTTACACCCTCTCCTGCCCCCAGCCCAGAACCAGGAGAGCAGCCTGGAAGGCACAGCAGCTAGGGAGGGCCTCCAGAAGCTTCACAGGGTTGGGAACTCCAAGTTCCCACCAAGCCTTTAAGCTTTTTAGGGTTGCAGAGGAATAGGATTCAAGTTAGGCTGAGCTCCACTGGAGAAGTCCCAGAAGAATCTTGGACACACATTCCCTGCCCTTTGGAAAGGCCACTGCTTCCTTGGACAGGCCCAGAGAGCCCACGTTTCTGAGATGCAGATGCTAACCTTTGTCCTACTACACCTCATGACTGAACCTCCCTATTCCTCCCAATTCTTTCTATAGATAGGGCAGACCCCTGGACCCTTGCACTGGCTACCCTGGCCTGGAGCTGCTGGGCGGCTGCCCCACCCCTGTGCTGCCTGGGCTTTATATTCCATCTTTGTCCTGTACTCTGCAGTTTACTGTTGGTCTGTGAAACTGGTGGCCCATGTGCCCACTCTGACCCTCCTGCAGGGAGACAAAGGAATGTGAGTATACTATGACTGACTTGGTGGCTTCCCAGGGCATCTCCAAGAGGCTGTGGTGGCTGGAAAACAGGTTGCCACCCAGGGAGAGTGGCATGGCTTTGCAGTCAACACTCTGCTGATGTGGCACACTCTATTCCGCAGCACCTTATTTATGTCTTGCCGCACACCCTCACCCTGCCTCTAGACCCCAACTTCACCAAGGGAGACTTCTTAAGGTTTATTTTAAAAAGCCATTTTGTAAGACTTGTTGCTTTAAAGTCATGTTTCTGTTCAAAGACAGGCAGAGATACCTGGTGGGAAGTTCCACCCTGCCCAGGTGCTTCAGCAGACCTTGGGGTCTGGGCCCGCCTTTCCCACCCATACCTGAAACACCAGGGCATACCATCCACAGGAAGGTCTGTGAAATACCCATTTCCCCCAAGTCTTGCTCTGGTTAAGTAGCAGAGGAAGGATGGGGCAGCACCCACAGGACGTCTCGCTGTGCTAGAGGGACCCCTTTACCCTGATCTTTTGAGTCCCACCCACTTCTAATGTGCAAGGGGATTTCCCATGAGAAGCCCAGACAAGGACCTCAAGCATCCCATTGTCTTCTCAGAAACAAGGTGGCCTCCAGACCTATCCAGAGAGCCTAAGGAACTGGGTCTGCCACCCTCTCCCCTTCCAGGGTGGCCAGGTCCTTCCTGAGGCTGGAGACCCTCAGGTCCTAAGAATCAACCTGCAGAACACCCTTTGGGGCCTGCAAGGGTGGGAACAGAGACTTTATCAAGGACTACAGCTAGACACCCATTTCCCACCCCCTCCAAGATAAAGTCTGGTTGTGACCTGATCTGGGACAAAGAGCCACCAATTCTCTGGACTGTGGCTGGGCTGCTTTCCACACCCACAGGATGCAGTCATGGCTCCTTACTTGCCTGGGGAGTTCCCATCTGCCACCTGCCCACCCTGAGGGCCCATGGTACAGTTCCTTGCTACAGTCACTCTGCCAGACAGAAGGGAACCTGGCCTTTGGGCTGCTCCACGGAATGGATGGACAGGAGCTGCTTTGACTGCATTGCTGCCCTGGCTGCACTAGAAGGGCAGAGTGCTATCTCCAGAAACACCACCCAACCTGCAGGGTAAGAAGGACACACACACCTGCATGACCTCCCAGCATTTCCATGTTATCCCTCCCTGGGGACTAAAGCAAGATGATAATGGACCAGTGGGCACGGCCACCTAGGAAGGTTCCCCACTCCGACCCAAGGTTCCACCAAAGCCTAGGGCCCTGCTGTGGACCAGATCCTCTCAAGGTTAAAACCAGCCCCAGACCACCTCCAATATGAGGCATAGCCATACCTGCCTCCTCATGGGAAAGCTGGACAGAATACCCACCAGAGCCAGATCCTCATTTCCAACCCATTTCCCTAAAAACCCCACCTTGAATGGGCAGGCAGGCCTCAAGGGCAGCCTGTCCACCAGGGCCTCACCCAGCTCCATGCCTGGACTGGGAAGGGCTCCCAGCCTGTGGTGGCCTGCCTGGAGCCAGGTGGGCCCAGCTGCCCGGCGCCTCTTGGCAGAAGCCTCTGGATGCCTACAGTTTTCCAGACAGAGGAGTTTGTCTTACAGAAAACACAGAGCAAATGAAGGAAGCAAAAGGCAAAGCAAACCCAACCCCCAGCCCCATGGCACAGGAGCCCATGGCGGGGAGCGAGCTTCTTCAGCACTTGCAGAAGGGCCATCCAAGGCAGGGCTCAGGCGTGCCTATGTGATGTCCCTCTGCCGTGGTGGCCGGTGGACGTTCCGCACGACGCACTTCACCATCCACTCGATGCCCTCGCGCACTCCTTTGCTGTAGAGACAGTGGTGTGAGGCAGAGTCGGCCTCCATGCCCAGGCCCCTATTGGGGAGGCCCACTCACCCCGTGAGGGCAGAGCAGGCTTGGGTCAGGCAGTCTCGCCTGCCAATCTTGCAGGTGCAGTCACTGAACGCAGTCTTGATGTCAGGAATTGAGAGGCAAGTCTGGGGGAAGAGGAGGCCCTAAGAAGCAGCCCCCATGCCTGCCCCATCCAGGCTGCATGACAAGGACCACCCCCACCCTGACAGCAGTCCCTACAGCAGCCACAGTGAGAATGTGGGCTCCAAGTAGGGAGCTGACACAAGCCAGGTAGCAAGGCAGTGGGTCTCAGTGGCCCTGGTGGGCAGGGTGAGGGAGGGGGAAGTGGCAGTGTCAGCCATGGGGTGGCTTCTCCGCTCACCCTTCCCTGAAAGAAGACCCCACCCCGTGACAGACAACCCCCATTAGTGTTTTCCAGACGCAGGAGCAGGGCTGGTGGGGCAGGTCTGCAAGGAATCAAGGGAGACAGGCCATGTGAAACAGGCTAGGGAAGGGGCAGAGGCACTTCCGGAGAGTGATGCTTTCCCTGGCCCTCCAGACACTGGCAGCCACTGTGGTTGCAGCTGCTTTTGTGCAGAGCCTCTCCATGGCAGCATCACCTCCAAGGGGTCCCAAAGGCTCGGGGGAGGTTTGGTACAGACACTGGCTCCAATGATGGTGGCGACAGGCTGAGGTCAGAGCTGACTCTCACTCAAGGGCCCCCCACAACTTCTGAGCTCAGAGCTTTCACCTGGGTCTCCCCAGTCCCACTCTAGGACAGAGCACAGTCACCCTCCAGAGGGGAAAAGATGCCCACACAGAAGGAATATGTCTCTGGGGTGCTACCCTCCCCTCACCAAAATCCTGGCACTTCCCTAGGGAAGAGGGTGGTACCTACAGCAGGGTGAGAGCGCCTACAGCGAGGATGGGTCTGCCTAGTGATGAGAGCTCCAGGACACTCAGAGAGGAACTGGGCTCTGGAAGCTGGAGGTCCTGAGCACATGAGACAGAGGGGCTCAAGAGCTCTGTGCACCCAGAAGGACGTAGCGCTCTCAGCATGAGGGTACACACACACCACTCTCCTTATAGTTGGGACACAGGGACTCCAGAGAAGTTGTGTGGGGCTCACCTCCACATCCTGCTTGTTGGCCAACACCAGGATGGGGACACCGTCCAGCGCCTCGCTTGCCACCACCTTCTCTGGAGAGGGTACGACAGGCAGCACCTTGCACCCTGCATCCTGATAGCAGGCAGTGCCCGGAGCCCACGAGCATGGAGAGTGGCACCAACTCTCCTTTCACCCTCCCCTCACATGCCAGGAAGCCAGCTCCAAAAACATGAACCAGACTGGACCATGTCCAGGCTAGATCCGACCTCCCCTCACTTCTCCCCACACAGCCCTGGGACATAGATTCTTGTCTCTGCTCTATCTGGGTTACACTCACCAAATGCCTGCTTAGACTCAGACAGCCTCTCCTCGTCAGTGGAGTCGATGACATAGATGACACCATGGCACTCTGCATAGTACTGGGAAGACATGGAAGATGGCTGGAGCCACCACCCTGCCAAGGGTGGACTTGGCCAAGCTCCCTGTCATGGACATCAGGAGGGGTCCATAAAAGGAAGATTCTCACCTCAGGGGCCACAGTCAGGTAACAGGTGCAGCCCCAAGGGGAAGATCTGCTGGGGTGCTTTCTGGAGCTGGGGGAGCTCAGTTGTAGACACACATCCAGGCCCTTTAGAGAAAGGCCTGTTGACCCTGATGATGGAGTCATCCTTCTCCTGCCTAGGTGCTATCCTGAGAACCTACCTGGGGCCGTGGCTGATGGTGGCATTAAAGAGACAGGGCTGGGAGAAGTCCAGATCTTAGCCTGGTCTCCGTGAGGAGTGCACCTGGGGGTTTATGTAGCACTTGGCACAAGGGGGAGCACAGCAATGGGGATGCAAGAGGGACAGGCATGTTTCTGACAAGGCACTCGGAGAAACCTACAAAGCTGCCCTGCCCCTGCCAGGACAGTCAGCCCTACTGAGTTCAGACCTCTGCAGGCTGGATATGGCCAGTCCTGGGCTCACCAAGGGTGACCAGTGGGCAGCACTACTGAGGCAAGACAGAGGGCAAGGCAGACACAGGAGGTGCAGGTCTACATGGCAACAGCCAAAGATTCAGCAGGTGTATTTTCATCCCAAGCAGAACACAATTTGGGAGACTGCCATATCCTTGTGGCACAGATAACAGCATGCCTGCCACTTCACCTGGGGCTATATCAACTCTCCTGTCCCAGCACTATGGTACTCGGCATTGACGAGTACCAGGATGTGCTCTTGAAGAACAAGACAAGGCAGTGGTCACATGCACCCTTCAGGTGGGCAATAACTGGAGAAGGAGCAGGCTGCTAGCTCTGCAAGAACCTTAGGGCTTCTGGTCCAGGAACAGATAAGCCACTGCACCTGAGAAGCAGGAGGCTCAGTTCCAGATGTCCTCCTGGGTTCTACAGTGAGACCCATACACAGGAGCTGCTCTGGCCTGGAGCTAGGCCTGGCACACAGGCTGCCATCTCCAGGAGGGCTGGGCAATAGGCTGGCCTCTTGCTACAGACTCAAGAGCTGGCAGGTTCTACCAGAGGGTCTATAGCCAGCCCAGTGAGTCCCAGTAGCACCTGAAGTGCATGAGCAAGACACAGATAGGATAACTGGGTCTCAAACCTTGGAACTCAGAGCCACCCTGAACACCTACCACGCACAAGATGAATGGCTCAGAGACAGCCAGATGGGAATGGCACATTAGCTCTCCAACAGATGCAACACACCTCTGGCCATGTAAGAAAGCCCTGAACAACCAGAAAGGGAAATACCCAAACATGGGTCAGCTAGACAGGTAAGGACAAGCCAGAGCTGAAGAGCAGCTCACCTGCTTGTGTGAGAAGTCGTGGCCTGAGATGCATGTGTGCCAACTTGTGGACAGCATGGACACAGGGCCTGAAGCAGAGGCAAGCAGCAGGCACAAGGAGTAGAGGCCTTGGTGCCTATGTAAGGTCCACCAGAGCAGCTGCTGGGGATAAAGTGATTTGGCTAGCCCATGCAGGGATGTAGCACTGGGTGAGTGAGAGGCGGTGACTGTGGTGGCAGAGCACAAGCCTAATGGGACAGGCTCCACTCACCAAGGCTGAGAGAACCACCACCAGGGATGCAGCCTGACAGTGACAGCAGGGCTGAAGCTCAACAGGGTGTGGTCCTCAAGGAAATCAGAGGAACTCTGGAGTCAAATTAATCTCAGCAGCAATGGGTACTCCCACCATGAGATGTCAGCCCATGATCCAATATGTCACACCAGCCCCAGAGGCTCCTGTAAGCCACTATCATGGCATGGGCCCCACACCTGGACAGTCTCACGCAGGGCTGGGCCAGCCACAGTATTCACCTAGCGGCAGCCTGCAGGGGACCAGGCCTCAGGATGAAATCAGCACTCCCAGTTAGAGACCTGAGGTACTGGGCTCCAACAAGGAGGTCACAGCATTCAGGGACCACAGTGGAATATAGGCCCCTTCCTGTCCCTCCCAGTAACCTATGGGGGACACGGCTGACTGTCCCCATAACTGAGGGCTCTTTGGGGTTGGAGGTCTACTCACTAAAGCAGCAAGTGCTCCATAGAGTTGCTCAGTCATAAACCGTGGCTGCCTGGGAGACCCTACCTTGGCAAGGTAACTGACACCAGTTGGCAGGGGCAGGGAAACCCAGTGAGCCATCTGGACAAGGGCTCAGACCCTTGGTGGCAACAAAGATGAACACAGCCCAGGATCAGGTGCCAAGACTACAGGCCCACATTCTCCTGGGCCAGCCTCCTCTTGAGAAGAGCCATTCCCCAGAGCAAAGATATGAACACAAGTGGTACGCAGCTAGCCACAGGACCCCACTGCAGTCTTGCTACCCAGTGGCAGGCACTTTGGCTATTGCAGGACCCACTTTGGCTGCTAAGAGCAATCTTACCAGGTCACACCTGTCCACACCGGTGACAGAAGGAGTCCTAGTCATCTTTGTCCAACATGGTATAGCTGTGACAAGCAACTCTCCTCCTGTATTCCCAGCTTGCCAAGGCCCTGCTGACCCCATCACCCAAAGTGACGTTTCCCCCTGCTCAGTCCTGTACCCTCCTTGCTGCCTTCCCAGCACAGATTCCCAATGTGCACACTATGCCCAACCCATCCTGGCCTCCATTCCTGAGACTCTGGCTCCCCAGTTGCAGATGAGAAGACCCTGACTTGGCTTATTCTCTGTCCATCTTCGGGCCACAGGACCAACACCATCCTCTTGACTGGAAGTCAGGGTAGGACAGAACACTTTGATGGGATCCAAGAAAGGAGACCAAGGTCAGAATCAGGTGCAGGTCTTCAGGTTTTTGTATTTTCTTTTCTTTTATGCAGTCTGGGGACTGAACCCAGGGACACTTTTCCACTAAGTTACATCTCTTAACTCTTTTATTTTATTTTATTTGAGTGGTGCTGGGGATTGAACCCAGGGCCTTGGGCACGTGAGACAAGCACTCTAACAACAGAGTTATATCCCCAGCCCCTTTTTTATTTTTTGAGACAGGGTGTTGCTACATTGCTGAGGCTGACCTTGAACTTGGAATCCTACTGTCTCGGCCTCCCTGGGATTACAGGCATGTTCCACCATGCCTGGCTGGATACTGTGTGTGAGAGTAGCTGAGACATCTGCACTATAGCACTGGGCTCCCCTAAACCCACAGTGCCAACCCATGGGACAGGAGTTCCCTAAGGGAAGGGCCAGGTCTGTCCTGCTCAGTACCGGACCCAGTGCCTGGCATAGGTTGAGCTGAACCCACAGTATAATCTAGGCTGTGTATGGAGAGGGGTACCACACTGGGGTCTCAGAAATGCCCATAACCTACATCAAAACAGGAAGCAGTTTCTGTCTGCTTGAGGATACTCCCTGGTATGGGGAAAAAGCTACCAGAGAAAAATGTATAATGAGCTAGAATTAAGACAGCCGGATCCACCTGCAGATGCAGGTTCTGTGCCCACCCCTCATCTGATTCTTGCCATTTTTGCCTGTATCCTGTGGTGATCGGCAACAAAATTACTCTAAGCAGGAAGGAAACAGGTGAGTCTTCACCTGGCAGGCGATGGTGGTGGTGAAGAGACCTCCTGCTTCTCCCATTTTTTCTCTTATGCTGAGAAACAGATGCCTTGATGACTCTGTGACCAGGCCAGCTGCCTGATTTTCCCAGCAAGCTTGAGCCCTAGCTGGGGCCTTGAACATTCTCTGGTCTTGGTAAGTGTTGGCTTACCCCAAAGTTATTCCTAGTTTGACTGTTCCCCAAAATGCTCAAAAAGAACTGACGTGGTCCTGAGCCATATGCCTTAAAATGCCCAGGTAAACCCCATTCCTGGCCTGCTGGTTTAGAGCAACCCTTTCCATCATTAACTGCCAAAAGACAGGTTGCAGCTCTCTGTGTTCCCCCAGGAAGTGCTCTGTGCTGACCACCACAAGAATCCCCTGCTGCCACTTTTGTGATGACTCTAGCAGCATGTTTGGCTGAAATGAAACAGGGAGTGACTGGGAAACCTGGGACAGAACCAGAGAGAACTCTCAGGGGAAAAAGTGGATAATGGACTTTCACACAGGAAGACCAAGGGCTATTATCTGCAAAGAAATGCTGTGGGGACAGACTTATATGTCTTACCTTGTCCCACAAGGACTGCAGCTCTTCCTGTCCTCCTAAGTCCCAGAACATGAGGCGAGTCTTTCCCACATCCACAGTACCAACTAGGGAGAAGAGAGAATGGGCAAGCTCATGACATTAGTCTTTGACACACCAAGTCCCAGCTCTCCTAGAGAAAGGGCAAAACACTCTGGTGCCACCCACAGGGGTCTGGGAAGCAGCCTAACACACAGGGCTCTGGCCACTGATGGGCTGAGTTGTGCCCATAACAGCATCCTTAGGGGTACCCCTAAATCCACAGCTTTAAGGTGCATCTTACTGTTTAGACCCACGGTGGTAGTGATTTTAGATAGACTCATGCCCTTGTACTGCTTGTTAAACCGGGTTTTCGACTGCTCCAGGAAGGTCTGAGGAGAAAGGAAAAGGCAGCTAAGGCAGTTTTCCACGTGTGTTTCTCAAATACTCTTATTTTTTATTTACTTATTTTTTGTACTAGAGCATTAACCCAAGGGTGCTTTATCACTGAGCTACGTCTCCACTCCACTCCCCACCTTTTTTAAATTCTGAGACAGGGTCTCACTAAATTGCTTAGGGACTGGTAAATTGCTGAGGCTGATTCTGAACTTGCCATCTTCCCGCCTCAGCCTCCTAAATTGCTGGGATTATGGGTCTAACCTTTAAAAAACAAAAAGAGAAACCAAACAGATCCGTGTGCTGCTCTTCAAGAATCTGGTGGTGATCACGGCCCTGTGGTGCACAGCAGCTATGGGTATAACCCCCAGCAGACCCCGGCAGGGAGGGGCCGGGCAGGCGGGCACCTACCGTCTTCCCGGCGTTGTCCAGGCCCAGGATCAGGATGCAGTACTCATCCTTCTGGAACATGTACTTGTAGAGCCCGGACAGCAGTGTGTACATCCTGCCTGGGGACCCGAGAGACGTCATGGTGCGCACCGCCAGCACCCCACTCCCCACCGCTTCCCCTACGGTCCGTGCGTCCCGCGGGCAGCTCAACTCGAGTCCGGGCGTTCCCGGCCATTCTGGAAGACCCCGACCCAGCTCTTCCCCGACCACTCCCACCGCAGCTCGTTCCGCGGGTGGCAATGGCCGGCCTTTCAGAGTCCAGGCCCTTTCCTGTCCCTTCCGTCTCCGCCTCCCAAGCCTCTCTCCCTCTGGACCACGTCCTGGGAACACGCCTGCAACTTGCAGCCGCGGCCCAGGGCCAGCCAGTTCCCGAAGCGCTCACTGGCGGGGCCGAGTTCTGGTGCCGCAGCCGCCGCGGCCCACCTGCGCCCGCACCGACGCCGCAGCCTCCGCAGCGACTT